CATAGGAGGCGCACAGTGTGTAGGGCCTACACTTAGGAGTTCAAAAAAATGCCAAGCACATCGTGCTGAGAGCAGGTTGCATTGTATGGAACACCAAAAGGGACATATATTTGCAATCTCTAATCTGCAATAATCTCTGCCTCCTGCTTTTGTTTTTTTTTTTCTGTCGGAAGGAACTTAGTCGAACAGATAGTAGTTACAGACAAAGGGGTGCTTGTGAACTTGAGGGAGTGTCCAAAGTGAATGATCGCAAGCACGTTACTGTCCGAGGTGACTTCTCCCCAGAACCCTGCGGAATACTGAAGTCGCTCCCCCCAATGGGGCCAAGATTGGAAGGCGGAAGTGAATCTACACAGTCAGTGAAAGATGAAAGGATGGATGAAATGAAATGGATGAAAGAGCCGAGATGATCTGGAGTCCCTTTGATTCTGAGGTCTGGAGGGTTGAACTCAGCGGTCATTAGGATGGGACTGGTAGGGAGGGGCCGGTCTTGAGGGTTTGAGAAAACTAAGCTTGTTGGTTGTGTCAATTCGCTTAGCTTCAGCCTCCGTCACGTCCATGAATTTCCCAATGAAGAGGTCCTTGCCGTAGAGAGGGAGTTCCTGTAATCTTGACTTGACTCCGTCATAGGGGATACTCATGGCATCAAAGGTGTTGAATCTGCCTGCGAAGTTGCCAAGACAGAGATCCAAATGAATTGACGTTCTCATCACCTGGCGATGGCTGCTAGGTCCAGAGTCACAGGTATGTCTTCCTCATAGGCACGGGCTTAGTAATTGGAGAGGAGAGCCAGAAAGGCAGTACACGAAGGCCATGGCATGAAGCTTTGTCAAGCTTAGCAAGGGTAGTTTCAAGGGTAGACTTATCCTTGTCCTTGAAAGGAGCCTTCCGGGTAAGTCTCCAGGCATCAGAGGGCAGCTTATCTTTAGTGGCAGCAGGTATCTCTGAGACAGAGAAACAGTTCTCATAACCATCCTTGGAGAACTGGAAATAAGTTCCTGATTTGGCCAGGAATAAGCACCAGTGTTTTGCACCAGCAAAAACCTTGAACATCAAGATGCAAGAACAATCTAGAGGGAGTTCCGGGAAGAGTGAGGCCAAAGTCCCCAGTCTAGCAAGGAGGCATGTGATGGGGCCTCAGCTATAGAAGGATTAAAGGTAGGCCCCAAACCTAGATCATATCCTCCAGCAGGAGACAGAGATGTGCCTCTGGAGGGTTTAAGTTGGCTGCAGAGGTAATGTCTTCATCATCAGAGGATGAATCACGATCCACCTGAAGCTGTTCAGCACGAAGGGAGACGTCATCTGTTGTGTCATGCTCATGGGTCAGGTGTGAACCGTAAATAGAACCCGAGCCCAGATTGGTTGAAGATTGGAAGCCGTCGTGCGAGGGATGGATCGACAGAGCCGGATGCAAAGTTGGATGCGGAGTTGGATGCAGAGCTGGATGCGGATTCAGAGCAGTCGCCGGGGGAGTGGGGTTTGACTCAAGGTGGCTGGCTATTGTGGACAGTGTCTCCAACAGAGAGCGGACTGCCGTCATTAGCTCAGTTGAAGAAAAGTCTTGCTTGGATGTAGAGTGAGACTTCTTGTGTTTGCACCCCATAGAAGAAGACAAGGAGTGTTTATGCTTCTTGTGTACAGGAGTCTGAAGAGCAGGGGCATCAGAAGCCAGTCCGGATTGCAGATCGTACTCTGCCAAAACAGGCTGATGACTTGCCAGAGAAGTGGCCTTGGGAACGCTCTGGCTGGAGAGACCAAGCAGGTAGCCTGAAGATAAGGCGATGTATGGAATTCAGAAGCCATGACGGTGTAAGAGGCTGGTGGGTTCCATTGCCTGGGATGCAGGTGGGGGTGAGCTTGCGTAGCTAGGTGCTGCCTCTGTACAGGCCGCCCCGGGAGACAATGGGGTGTCAGCCCCAGGTAAGGTAGTGTCTAAATCACACCTGTACATACTAGTGGAGAGGTCGTCTGAAGGTGCCAGTTCATGGTGGAGCTGGCTTGAGAGGCTTGGGACTGTACTGGCATATGGTCTTGTGAGCCACACTGGCGGGTTGGTGAAGTCTACAGTAGGTGCTGGTAGTGGGGAGACCGATGTTGGACCTTAGTGCTTGGGAGCTGGGCATGGAAGTGTTCCGTTGGTTTATATCTATTAGGAAGGTGGGAGATCATGGAGCGAATCACCGTACTACCTCACGGAACCTCCAACCACCCTGGGTTGCTCCCACTTACCCTATGTAAATTACTCAGTGTTACCGAAGTGTAGAGCTAACGTGAAGCCTATGTAAAATCATGGAGCTATAAAAAAGGAAGGAGTTACTATGGCCAGTAGATCAAAGGAACTAACTCCCACGCTGTGCTCGCAAAACACTGGGTGGTAGATGATGAGGACTAACCACAGACACCCCCCGAGGGCATATCGTGAGTCAGTTCGTTGAGGTTGAGAGTGAAGATGATGATTCTGATATGAAATACTGCATTTGTCAAAAGCCGGGCACTACGGAAATGATCACTTGCAACAACATTCAGTGTGATATCGCATGGTTTCATTACTATTGCGTCGGGTTGACTTCGGACACGATTCCAGAAGATTCCTGGGTCTGTGATTGTTGTCACACTGTCACGGTTGATAATAAATCTCGTTAGTACAGATAAATCAGGAAATAAATTTTCATTAGAACGTCACTTCATTAATCAACATATGTCAACAAAAGTCTGTTGCTTGGCGCAAATTATTGCAATGACATTAGTCCATGATTAGTCCATGACAAAAAAAGTGGTAGACATTTCTAAATTGTCACAAATAGCCTACATGTATAGGCATGGGCCAGATGTGCCTTTGGCATGTTTGGGAAGATTCTTCCAAAAGAGGTAGATTCCTTCGTGTTAAATTCTCATGATGAAAATGATTTTTTTTATTTCTCATCATGGACTTCAAAATCAAACATGATCAAAGATGCTCTGACTGGGCATGTATGTTGAGTTATAACTCGTTGGACAAGAACACTGAGAAGTTGTAAAAATATTTGATAAAATTTTTAGAAACAGTTTTACTCCATGGCCCAGCGTAGCCTTGATAAAAGTGGTGTGTAACATTCCAATTTACAAACAACTAAATTTAATTTAGGCAAACATTTAATCTTTATTGCAGAAGCAGCAGATCTGGATGTATCTACCGAGAAAGTTTCTGACCCGAGTAAGACAGATGAAGCAGCAGTGCAGTCTGAACCTGAGAGCACTCCGGCCAGTACAAGTGAGCACGGTGAGAAAAAAGCGAGTAAGAGACAAGCGAAGGAGGCAGCGACACAAGAGACACAACCAAAGAAGTCAAACAAAAAAGGTGATTACATGCACATCTTTCTGATCATTTTTTACCTGCTTTGTTTGCTGTTTGTTGGGGGTATTTTTATGTGTATTGAAGAGAACTTAATTTTGTTTATTTTTCATTACACTGTAATTAATATAACTTTTATTCTATATATTATTACATATTCTTATTTTATTTTTCCACTAAATTTTCAGGTGTTCAGCACCCTGTTGCCAGATTTGGTAAAGAAGATGCGATCCAGCAGGCTTGCATGTACATCAAAGAAGGACTTCTAAATATGAAATCAAACCCAGTTTACTCTACCTGTTTTCCAATTGCCCTATGTATCATGTCATTGGTAACAAATCTGTTTGTTGACTTTCCAGTCTTCCGAGTGAGTGGCCTTTGGTTTGTTACCATTGCAGGGGACTAAGAAAAGCTTGGACCTGATGCCTCTGCGATGATGTGGCGAACGTTTCATTATTATAGGTCAAACAGTGAACATGTAAGAAGGTGGCGTGTGTTTTTGAATTCGGTGGGGATTAACGAAAAAGGAAAACATACCCACATCATGTACCAACATCTACTGCAATTTGTCTTAGGATTAATTGTAAATGACAGAAATTCACAGGACAAACCAGAGAGTGCTGTTGATACGACTCAGAGTGACAACATTTCTAAAAAAGAAGAGCAAGGTATTATGATATGTTGATATTATGGCTGAACTGTTCTACAGTAGGACTGTCCCAGGATCTGCCAGAAGATCTGCTTACTGAAATACACCTCAAGAGGATCCTGGCTTAGCTTCTCACTGAACAGAAACTTGATGTTTGCGGTCGACAACAAGCTTTTACCAAGTTCTATGAAGGAGTGCAAGGTTGCAATCCTATTTTAAGTTTACGGAATGTAAAAACTTGTCAGACCAGAGAAAATTGGGTGATTCACAATATTGCACGTACATTAGTTTACAAGTTGGTCAATCACAATGTGCAAAATTTGTCGACCCAATGCACGTTTGTAAAGAGTCAACAGATTTGGCGCATTTTGCTTGGCCTGGAGATCAACAATCTTCTCCTGTAGCTGCTGCTCTGACAGGAAAATTTTTGGGGCATTAGATGATGCTGATCCAGTGCGTTGCTGCTTTCCCATTAAACAGCTTGTATAGCAGATGAGAGATCACTTTTGTGTATTTTGCAGAAGACGCATCTAGTTCTGCTTGATTCTACCAATGAGAGACATTTCTTGTGCCGCACTGTTCCATCGATAAAGACATCACTGTTCATGATCTTTGTAGGCATTTGACCCTCTGGACCATGCTTTGATACCACCAGTTCAGGGAAATAAGGATTTCCGGGGCACACATGCATCTTATCAACCTTGCTGCACATGAAATGGATGTCTTCTGGGCTCAAGAACTCAGGCATATCCTTGCACAGCGAATGATCTCTGTTGCAAGTGATGCCACCTATAGTCAACCCCCAGGGAAAATTTGCCAGGATAGTGAAGAAGACAATGGGATTACCCACCAATTTTTTAAGATTCTTATTCTATCTTCCCCTCTCGTGACCATAAAGGAAAACTTCTGAGCGGTAGTGCTTGTGGTCATCCAAAGTGACAAGAACTTCACCTATGCACCTGTCACATGCGGTACTGGTGAAAGTGGCGATTTCATTGTCACATATGGCCTTCTTACGTTTTGCATGATTATCTTTCCATCTCCTGAGCTTCAGCTCACAAGGCACACATACGGAGGATGGATGCCAATCACATCATTGGATACAGTGACATCCAGTGCAGCCTTGATTTCTGCAGCAAACTGCTCTTTGAGCACAGGATTTCTATCCTTCTGCTGGGCACATCTCTCATCACCAAGGCAACAGACTTCCGACGAGCAATCCTTATGCTGATTCATCGGACTCTGCCAAATAACTACAATTCCAAAATAAAACTGTAAGGTACTCATATATCATAACATACCAATAGCAACGAAAAATAAACTAATCATCCAATAAATACAACATAACAACTTACATGCCAAAAAATACTGGCACATCAACCCCACTGTTTGAATAAAAATTGTTGGAATTACATGGCCACAAGAACTGAACTGAAATAATATGAGAAGACTGAAGATAGTACTTAACTTTAGTTTCTTGTTTACCCATATAAATACTTGAAACTATTTCATGAATCTCAATTTATTCTAAAATGCACTCAATTCCTTCCCAAAATCAAAGTACATGTACATGTACATGTACCCTATGTGGGACTTTTTCTCAATAAACTTGATCACTTCAATATTTCAAAAATTATAGCCAAAATGGCAAAGGAAAATGCAGAACCATTTTAATGGGTCTGACTTTTTAAAGTACACAAAGGCCCTTGAATGCTTTATTTAATTTGGTAACCTTTCTAAAGTAGTTCCAGGGTTTTGCATATGCACTTTGAAACGAGAAATAAACAAATTAAAATTTAATTTCTTTTATTTTTTATCCGATTGTTTACTTTGATTTCTACCTACTTTTTTTTGGGGGGGGAGAAGGATAAGGAGACACCTTTTCATATATAATTAAAAAAAAAAATATGGATCAACAGTTAATAAAAATGATATGATGATGATCAAGATTGCCTAGCCAGACAAAATTTAAGCCAAAAATAATTTTGCAAAGACCTTGTTTGAATCCAAGAACCATTATCAATCCCTCGGGAAAAAAAAATGAAATGACCAATTTTCCTTCATGTATGCTGAGATCCAGCACTCCAGAAGCATTCATTTGTTCATGGCAGTTTCATGGTGTTAGGATTTTCTGCAATTCTGGCATATGATGTAGGCAGACTAGGCATATACTTTCACTTATAAGACGTAAAATACTAAGATCTTAAAAGAAAAAAAGTAGATGGTCCAAAAGAATATGTGGAGCTATAGGAATAATGTAATAACCGCATTGCAGATGAAAAAAAAACAAAAATGATTGATCAATCATGTTTTGTATCCCTGGAAAGTTTCTTACCCTGCTGTACACTTTAATGCCATATACAAATAGCTAGAAAATACGACTCTCTATGCTCTGACACTGTTTGATCTCCCAGAACCTTCCGGAATCATTTTTATTGAAAAAACATATCATTTAATGAAAAATAATTTCTCAATCAACATGTGCATATATACTTACCAGGCAATGGAAAGTCCAATTTGAATGTACAAAAGACCGGCGAGATCAGAATTTTTCACTGAATTTATCAATGAAGATGGTGCATAGTTCACATGGCTGGGAAACTACTGCACATGTCCTAATTCATTTGTTTACTGAGAGTTCCTTTACTCAAAGATATTGCCACAGAGATTTATTTTCTCCAGTAAGGTGAAGCGCAACATGGGAGTCTGTGCATAAAGGCGCTTATCTCGGTCTTAAATCTGCTTGCGCTGTGGGGAACCTCTACTGGGTTTGTGCAGGGCCACACTCCTCCTAAATTGGCTGCTAATGTTTTAAGGGGATTGGGCAGGCCGTTTGAATACTTCCTTTTCTAAAGCTCTATGGTATAATTCACACTCAGAAAGAAAATACCACAAAAGCAACAAACACACACACACACACACCCACACTCAATCATGAAAATATATCAAATGAAGGAATATACATTTATTACAATACAGTTGATCAAATTAACACAGGAACGTGTAGTGAAACAGAAAACTTGAGAATACAAAGATGCCCAAATTGAAACATCCATTAGGAATCACACTAAGGAAAAGGACGAACATGGCGGCCACTCTGCTATATATCATAGGACTAGAGGGTGCACTACGGTTGATCAAGTTTTTAATTAATGGAGACGTACGCAAAGGAAATTTGCATATTTAATGACTGGGGTTGGTACCGCAAACTATTTTCAAGATGTATTTTTGTGTTAGGGAGATGTCAATTTTAGTTTGTGGTACCCTGTGGTACCTGCTGCTTCACCTAACTCGGACCAGCCAGCTGACCCCAGCAAGCTTGTTGATCAAGAGGTTAAGAGTCTGCACTAGTAAGCAGGAGGTTGTGGGTTCGAGTCCCACCCGAGTAAGCTTGTGAATTGTTTTGCAAGCTCTCAGACAAGCACTGAGCAAACAGTGTTTATCAATATATACATCGGATAAGGGCAAAACCTGTTATATATAAATGGTATATATGTGTTACAAATGCATCAGTTTCGATACACCTAAACAGCTCATCCAAAATATGACATTATTTTTAATGTCAAACCTTGATCCTGATTAGTCAAACGTTGACAAAAGAATGCGCTTTTTACACATATTACAGTCAATACAGTACTGACCATATTGTGCCATCTCAAGGGTAAGCATACTAAATCCCTTGGGTAAAATGATTCCAAAATGCACAGTCCACTATGAATTATAAAGTTCATTGTCTGATATGGATTGTCACCTGGGTTTTGTTACCTTGACCACTTCTACTGTCAGATAAAAACTTACGGCGACATCCTTAAGAATGTGTTCAAATTTATCTGGTGTTGAACAATTCAATCATTGTTTAGCTGTCTTGTGTCTTCACATGCAGTACATTCTGGTTTGATATACAGCATGTGCATTCCATCTTTACTGTACGCTTAACCAAATCTTTAATCCCACTTGCATTCATAGGAAAACCCAGTAGTTTCATAAATTTAAGTTAAAGTCATACCATCTTTCTCTTTTTCCATTCGGACCTTCTTCAATGCCACTATTTCATTTGTTACTGAGTCTCTTGCTCTATCTGTAGAAAGAAAAATATTTTGAAAGAACATGGTCCCAACTTATTGTCACTCCAGCATTTTACATGTAACATGCGTTAGTGAATTTTGTGGTGCCAACTCTGTTACACATGCACATGTATCAAATTTGATAAATACGTGTATTTGTCACCAAAAAGCAACAATTATCTGCTTGCATTCTATAATTCATTTTCCTGGGCTCTGTTATCCTTCTTACCATCTTCTTGATCCATGATTTGTCAACATGTCACAGCTAAGCGGCACTTGGTTTTTGCCGCATGTATGTAATATACCATATTGCATCTGTGAAGTCAAAAGCAAATGTGTGTGCCGTTCCAAAGTACCTGTACACGTAGCTCTTGCACATTTAAAAACATCCAAATAAGCAGTAAACTTACACACAATTCCATACGTGCCCTCTCCGATCCTATTCAACTTTTCAAACTCAGACACACTCCGGCACAAGCCAAGCTGTTTATGAACAAAAACATCAATCTTACCTTGATGCAA